TTCTCCTCGTATAGGTAAATGCTTTGAATGCAATGAACCGGGTCACCTAGCCAAGGATTGTCCCAAGCTCAAGGAGAAATATTTGAAATACAAGAAGAAGAAGGCAATGTATGCCGGATGGGATGAATCCGAACCTAGCGATTCGGATAGCGATGATGAGGGTGCCAAGATTGCTCTTCATGACCCAAACATTTGTTTCATGGCTCATGAAGATGAGGTACAATCCGAAACCGAAAGTGAATCAATTTATATGCAATGTGAGAGTATTGATTTGTATCTCTGAAATTTTTTCCAGTTCTACCATGCTCCCACTAATTTCTTTTTCAAGAAATTCCTTCTCCAAGAATATATCATACCGAGAAATAATTATCTTTTGTTCATCGATATGGTAGAATTGATATCAATGGGAATTCCTTGGATATCCTACAAATTTACACAATACTGAACGTGTCTCTAACTTTTTGGGATCTTGTTTTTTACATAAGCATGACATCCCCAAATCTTAATATAATTAAGATGTGGTTTCATCCCATACCATATCTCATATGGAGGTTTAGGCACTACTTTAGTTGGAACCTTATTCAGTAAGTGCGTTGTTGTTTCCAACGCATACCCCAGAATGAAAAAAATTGTATCTCAGTGTTACTCATCATGGAATGTACCATATCTAATATGGTATAATTCCCAAAGTTACCTAAGAGAGAATCACATTCTCATTTAAAGAACCCTAAGAATTCTGAGCTCAAGTTTTCATATCCTCGATCAAATCAAAGAATTTTAACTTTCTTGCTCTAGTCGCCTCTTGCCTTCGTAGACATAGGACCACATACATCACTATGTATCAGTTCTAAGAGTTCTTCAACCCTTGCTCCATTTCCCATAAATAAAGTCTTTGGTCATATTTCCTTTAAGGCAAGACTTGCAAGTAACATAAGTCTCAAAGTAAAAATGGATCTAAAACATCCATGTTTATGTAATTCGTCAAGTCTTTCTTAATTAATATGACCAAGTCTACAATGTCATAAGAAAGCATTGTACACAACTGAGTGCTTTCTTTTATTAGTGTGATGAGTATTCAGAATTGTATTTTGATTAAGAATATAGATTCCATTATACAATGTTCCATAAGCAATCAACTTTTGATTAAATATGATATTCATAACATTGTTCTTCAACTACAATGTTCCATAAGCAATCAACTTTTGATTAAATATGATATTCATAACATTGTTCTTCAACTTGAATATATATCCATCTTTATCTAATAAAGATATATTCATAACATTGTTCTTCAACTTGAATATATATCCATCTTTATCTAATAAAGATATGGATATTATATTTGACATCATAGCTGGTACGAAATAGCAGCAATTCACAATCAAAATATTTCTATAACTTCTCAACCTTTGCAACAAATTACAGATGTGAGATCCTAATCCGGTATCTAATACCTAAAATATAGGATTTATAGAAAAACATTTCTTAGTAACAAGCACACTTGAAGATGAAGCAACAACTTGCTCATTCTTGATGAGTAAGGCTTATAATTCTGGGTAGTTCCCTTTTTCAGTGTCCTGACTTGTGACAATGAAAACATCTTGATGTCATCATTTTCACCTTCCCTTTGTCCTTCTTGACAGCCTTCTTAACACCTTTCCTTGGTATAGAAGTTTTCTTCATTTCCTTTCTCTGGCAACCACTTTGCTAGATGAGGAAGAAGATTGCCCTATAGCCAAGACTGGTGTTTGTCCCTTTAAGAACTTTCCTCCCGACTTAACAAATTAAGCAGAGCAGGAAGAGTGGGCTCCAGAATCATCATCAAGAACTCTGTGATGAATTTGGAGTAGGCTGGTGTCAAGGACTGCAGAATGATATATGTATATCTATCTGCATCTAGGCCTATGTTCGAAAGTTCAAGCTCAATAACATAAGCGATCATTTTTGAGGACATGGTCTCCAACAAAAGATCCCATAGTCATTTATGTCTAGAACAAATTCCAAAACTCCGCATACAATATTTGTCGCGGTTTGCTCATCATACAGTCCTACTGTATAACGAAATATGGATCTAACATCCATATTCTCACATTGTCTCTAATGGACTAGATCCATAGAGGTAATAGTGACGAAATATGGATCTAACATCCATATTCTCACATTGTCTCTAATGGACTAGATCCATAGAGGTAATAGTGAGGCAATATGAGCAAGTGAACAATCTTCTCACATTGTCTCTAATGGACTAGATCCATAGAGGTAATAGTGAGGCAATATGAGCAAGTGAACAATCTAAATCTCATTATATGCGGATTTCAGTGTCCACAACAGAGGGTTCTGGGCCTAGAGTATTCCAGTGTTTGTAAGGACATATGCTACTTTGTCATAAGTAAAGTCAATGATTACATTCCTCAACCAGTGTATGTAATTAGGAGTAGTTAACTTGTTCTATTATGATACACTGCTGGAAATTTAACTTTTAGCGACGGACAAATCCGTCGCTATAAGTCCATTTTCCGTCGCTAAAAGTTTTAGCGACGGAAAAAATAATATTCCGTCGCTAAAATATCGACGCTATTACAGGGGTGCCTAAAACGACTTTTAGCGACGGAATTTCCGTCGCTAATTATTAACGACGGATTATTAGCGACAGAAAATTGGTCGCTATTTTACAATAATAAAAAATTTAAAAAACAATAGCGACGGATTTTCCGTCGCTAAAGGGTTATTAGCGACGGAAAAGCCGTCGCTAATAAAACAATAGCGACGGAAAATCCGTCGCTATTGTTTCTGGAATATGCACAGATCTGATTTCGTGCACGTTTTCCGTCGCTAAACAATACTTTAGTGACGAAAATTCCGTGGCTAAAAGTATTTTTAGCGACGGAAATTCCGTCGCTAAAAATTTAAAAATAAGAAATTAAAAAAATATTTTGAAAATTGAAAATACCCTGTACAATATCGATAATAATTTTTAAAAACCTGTTCAATCAGCAGAAGAAAGCTTCAATCTCACGCAAATATCACATCTCACGCATATATCACACATTTAATTTAATAAAAGCAAATAAAAGTTTCTCGACAGGTACATAATAAGTATTGTTTATACAACACAAGAAATTGTTTTCAAAGTTATATTAAGGACAATCAATCCTCCTGATCATCATCATCCTCATCCTCAACACCAGCCACATTATGACTACCCCCGGCTGCACCTTGTGAAGAAGTCTCGGCCTGTAAATATAAATCAAATGTTAACAAGTGTGTGTAAACGTTAATAAGAGTATAAATATAAATATATACTACAACACAACACCACAAAACCACAACACAACAACACTACACCACAACACTACACCATCACAACACAACACTACACTGCACTGCACAACACATCACCACACATCACACCACAACACCACCACAAATCCTCCACAAATCCTCCAACCTCACCCACCAACCCACCAACCAATACCACCAACACTACGCACGCATACACCATCAACACCACCATCACATAAAAACATTATAAGTATATATTTTGAGGTTTGTGTGTAACAGTTTGTATCAGTGTGTATCAGTATGTACAATATCATCTAATTAAAAAAAAACAAAGTATATATATTACCTGTGACGACAAAAACCGTCTCCTATATGCCTCCTGAGCCTCCTGAGGCAGAGTCGACATGAATTGTGTGAACTCCAATTCGGTCTGCTCCCGGCGCCTCCGTTCTTCCTCTAGAGCCCGCTGATATGTTGTTTGCTGCGACTGCCAATCTTCAATCGCTTTTAATCGCTGCTCCATCGAGTCTTGATATGAACTGCTTCCTGGTGTTCCTTGTGGTGCTGCAGACTCGTAGGTGCTACTAGACTCGTGCGGCCTCTGCTCGGATCCTCTCCACCGATATCTGTTCTTCCTACTAGGTCCAATGACCGTCTCGATGATGGAGTCCTCATCCTCCCTACTTAGCCGGCCAGGAGTGTTAGAACAGACCTGAGACTGAGTCATTTGCTCCTGTACCTTGGCATGTAATTTCTCCTGCGATATATCAAAACAACCCGGGCAAGTCGACTTAATAATGATGCATTGATATGAAATTGAATATATAAATGAACTGCTACTTACAGCCAGATCCTTATTCTTTGCTTTCTTCTCTTCATCGGCGTAATTCGGGCTCCAGGAAGTCAGAATACGATCTGCAAAATGTCTGAGATCTCCCCTTCCCTATTTTATTCAAATATATCATTAACCCATAACACATAAATTATACTCAACGTAAAAGCTAATATATTATATACCTCAAGCTCTAATTGATGATAATGCTGGCTGAATGTCCTGGAGCCCCCGTGATGCTCGTAACTGCGAGGCGCGTTGCGATTCCTCCTTGCTATTTCAGCTTGAGCCTGCAAAACAATGTCAATTCGAAACAATATAGAAATTCAAACAATAAATTAAAAATATATACTTCAATAATACCTGAATTTCAGCCGTGTCCCAGTAACTGCAAAGTGCAAAAAAATCTACTCCATCCACACGCTCGTCAAGATGCCAGAATCGCTCCCAATCTTCTGTTATTTGGACAAAATATTTTTTCTTTACCTCAAACCGCCATCTCTTGAACGATACATTGATTTGCCCGAAGCAGTACGTCCAGGCACAAATATTATCGTCAAGAAAGAAAAATCGCTTCAGCATATAAAAAAAAGTAGATACAAATCAGTGTATTAAACATAATAATAAACTAATAACTAATAATGATGAAAATTAAAATAAATGACTCACACATATATATCTCCAACAAGCCACCAGCGCATCAATCCGCTGCGATTTCCACGTCAAAAAAATGTTAAAGAAATCGTGTCTCCTGGCTAAAGCGGCAAGGAAATTGTTGAAAGCATTGGCAAAGGCCCCAACAGGCACTCCGTTTTCCCATCGGATCACAGCCCTCCGATTAATATCAGGGATGAGGTTCGATTCCTTAGTAGCATTGCGGCCGCATCTAGGAGGTCGCTCGGTACCTGCGAAACAAAGAATCAAATGAAACAATGAATCAATATATATTTGCAATAATCGATAAACTATAAAAATTTATTCATACCTTTCAGTTCGAGGCACCTACGCTTTGCTTGTTCGTACCTTTGCTGCGCGATGGGGCGCATAGCATGATAAGAATCCCAATCATCCCTCACCTTGGCCGGACCGTGGACTCGCTGATCCGTAATAGAATCTGGCGGTAGTGCCGCAGCTTCTAAAGCTACGCTATACGGCTCAAATCTCCTCTCCTCCAATATATCTGCATGCGGTGGTGGTGGTATCTCCGCATGCTGTGTAGGATCAGCCTGTGTCTCCACGTCATATGGAGCATCTCCGCGTGATGTGTCATGTGGCTGCGAGTCATGTGTAGCATCTCCTCCTCCTGTGTAGTAAATGTTAAAAAAATATTAGGCTCATGTTAATAGTTTATAGAAATGTACAAATATAACAAATAAATAAAAATACCTGACGTAGAGGCATGTGCGTCGCCTCCAGAATGTCTACCAAAAATTCTCTCAAGCGCTCTCTTACGTAATCCTCTCGTCATCTATACTTTGAAAACATAATGAATATCCAACAAAAGTATATAATGCAAATAATTAATAAAACAGCACATGGCAACAGAATCGCGTGTACATGATGTCCAGTTAAACAGATAATACAAAGGCAATAATGTAATACATGACACACCGTGTTACATGATAACCAGTCAAACAGATAATACAAAGGTAATAATATAATACATGACACATCGTGATACATAAATCATGTCTCCTGGCTAAAGCGGCGAGGAAATTGTTGAATGAGTTAGCAAATGGCCCGACAGGCACGCCGTTCTCCCATCGGATCACGGCCCTCCGATGAATATCTGGGATGAGGTTCTGTGTCTTGGTACCACTGCGGCCGCGCCTAGTAGGTCGCTCGGTACCTACGAAAAAATGAAATTCAGGCGAAATATAAATCAATCAATATCGATAATACAAATTAAAATATTAACAGATAAACTATAAAAATCTATACACACCTTTCAATTCGAGGCATCTACGCCTTGCTTGTTCATACCTCTGCTGTGCGATAAGTCGCAAATCATGATAAGCATCCCAATCCTCCTTCACCTTGGCCGGGTCGTGGGCTCGCTGATCCGGAATAGAATCCGGCGGTAGTGGCGCAGCTTCTACAGCTGTGCTATATGGCTCATATCGGCGCTCCTCCAATACATCTGCAGCCTGAGGAGGCGACGGCGGCATCTCTGCATGCTGGGCAGGATCAACGAGTGTCTCCGCATCAGGTGGAGCATCTCCTCGTCCTGTGTCCTGTGGCGGCCCGTCATGTGTAGCAGCGATGCGGCCTGCGTAGGAAATGTGAAAAAATAATGTTAGGCTCGTATTAATAGTTTATAGAAATGTACAGATATAATAAATAAATAAAAATACCTGACGTAGAGCCATGTGCGTCGCCTCCAGAATGTCTACCAATAAGTCTCTCAAGCGCTCTCTTACGTAATCCTTTTGTCATCTATACTTTGAAAACATAATGAGTACCCAACAAAACTATAATACATGACAAAAACTGATACATGATAACCAGTCAAACAGATAATATAAAGGCAATACTATAATACATGACACAAACTGATACATGATAACCAGTCAAACAGATAATATAAAGGCAATACTATAATACATGACACAAACTGATACATGATAACCAGTCAAACAGATAATATAAAGGCAATACTATAATACATGACACAAACTGATACATGATAACCAGTCAAACAGATAATATAAAGGCAATACTATAATACATGACAAAAACTGATACATGATAACCAGTCAAACAGATAATATAAAGGCAATACTATAATACATAACACAAACTGATACATGTTAACCAGTCAAACAGATACATGAATGTTCTTTTTAAATCATAACCAAGCATTATATTATTATGATGATGTTGAGGCTCTACTCTGCGACCGTGTGCGGTTAGCCTGCGACCGTGTGCGTGCAGACAAAAGGACTGTCCTTATAGTTTTATCGACTCTACCGTGGACTCGTTTTTTGATTTTACGCCTTGGCTCACATATAATCGCAGGTACATCAGGGCGCGCCAGTGCAATTTCATCCACCAGATTATTTTGTGTCAATGAAAACTCAGCAACTGTTTCGTCGGCCAAGATAACATCTTCATGATCTTCGTCAGACACGGCTTCATGAATGTAGGATCTAGGCGGATTCTTAAGGACAACCCATTCGTCATTTTTCATTATATCTTTGACATAAAAGCACTGTTTTGCGTGAGCAGCTAACATGTACTTTTCAGTCTGATATATTTCCTTGTTAAGATTAACGAGTGTGTAACCGTAGTCATCCTTCGCCTTTTTCAGCTCACTCCAACGAACCTTAAACATCACATGTCTGACTTCATTATTAATCCCATAGAAAATCTCCACAATGTCTTCTACCTGACCGTAGCAATAGATTTCACCTTGTATCGGATTTAGATCTTTTGAACTAGCGTATGACAGTTGCGAGAAGGAGCAGAACACACCGCTATTTTGCGTTTGTCGTCTCTCTTCGAAACCGATGGTGTTAAACCTAAAGCCGTTGATACAGTAGCCTCCATAACGCTTAACCACGTTAGAAGGACCTCTGGCATATAAACATATTTTCTCAGGCAGGTTAACCCCATTCGTAATACGTCGGTCAACCTTTAAGAAAAGAAACAAATAGTTTAAATATCTGTTGGCAGGCACATATTTGATATACGAATCAGAAATGTAAATAAATCTTACTTCACCCTTCAGCCATGCAGGGAATTGTCTAGAGTGTGTGTCCATAACTCTTTTGTTTTTTGTTCTGCATTTAAGAATAGTCTGGACATATCGGATGTGAAGCCTAGAATAAAATCATTTACAACAGTTAAATAGAGATAGTTATTGTGATGTGATATGATCTGATTCAAACAGTTAAATACTTACGTCGCGTATATGTTAAATGTAGTATCATTGCTCAAGATATATGTGTGGGCTTGATCTAGCTCCATTCTGGGGAATCTAGTGTCCTCCCCACGATCATTATAGAATGTTCCGTCAATTATTCGTTGGGGACGGTTGAGCCTTGTCTCCACACCCCGCAAGTAACGAGAGATGAAATTCAAACTCTCATTACTTATATAGTTCTCTGCTATCGATCCTTCAGGACGTGCACGATTATGCATCAAATGTTTCATGAAACCCAAATACCTACAAGCATATAGTTTCATGATTTGTGACAAAATAAAACTGATATACGTAATTTAACAAATATTAATTGAGCATTATAATAATAAATACCTCTCCACAGGGTACATCCAGCGATATTGAACTGGTCCTGCGATGCGGGCTTCATATGCTAAATGTATTGTGAGATGCACCATGACCGTAAAGAACGAGGGTGGAAATAGAATTTCCATTTTACACAGTGTATTGGCTACACGTCCCTCTAATTCTTCAAACTCCCTGACATCAATCACCTTGGAGCACAACTGCTTGAAGAAACCGCAATATTCTATTACCACCATCGCGAGTTCCTTCTCAGCATGTCGCAACGCAACCGGGAGAAGTTGATGCAATAGAATATGATGGTCATGTGTCTTGAGTCCCAAAATTTTCCTGTCCTCAATATGCACATTTGCTGAAATGTTTGAAGCATAACCATCCGGTGTCTTCACGGACTTTAGAAATAAACACATATTATGGATCTCATCCTTCGACAGTGTGACACGGGAGGCTGGGAGTACAAACTTTCCGTCACCCTTATCTATAGCTTGCAGTTCGGGACGGATGTTCAATTCTGCTAGGTCTCGACGTGCCCTTAAGTCATCTTTTGATTTTTTTCCCGTCCTGCAACAAAGTGTTCAAGAGATTCTCGCATATGTTCTTCTCGATGTGCATGACATCCAAGTTGTGACGTATTTTTAAACTTCTCCAATATGGCAATTGATAAAATATGCTGAATTTTGACCATCCATGCGGAAGTTCAGTACCCTTAGAGACACGCACATGCGATTGGACAGTGCGAGGTTTATTTCTCATCCTTGTTTGCTTACCCTTTCCCCTTCCCTTCCAATTTTGCTTCAATATTTTTCTCCTAACCCCAAATGGATTTTCTTTGTTGAATCTTTTCTTTCCAAATATTTTTTTAGGTAGAGGATGTAGAAGCTCAAATATTTCTTCCCCGGTCAGCCTTGGTGGTGCCGGTCTGTTTTCTGGATTGCCGTCGAACTTTCCTACTAACTTTCTGAACTTGTGCCCTGTAGGTAACCATCTTCTGTGTTGCCAATAACAGAACTTGCGGCTGTATTTCAGGAACTTTCCCTCATAATCTGACATGCAAACCGGACAAGCAATCTGACCCTTCGTCGACCATCCAGACAGGTTAGCGTATGCCGGGAAGTCATTAATTGTCCACATGACCATTGCCCGCATACAGAAAGACTCCTTACCATAAGCATCATAAGTGCTGACACCTTTTTCCCAGAGAAGCTTCAGGTCGTCAATTAATGGTTGGAGGAAAACATCGATGTCATTTCCAGGAGAATATCTTCCAGGGATCAAAAGTGACAGTATCATGTACGGTTGCTTCATGCACATCGACGGGGGCATGTTGTACGGTGTCAGCAACACTGGCCAGGTAGACCAAGCAGAGCTCATTACTCCAAACGGATTAAATCCGTCGCTAGCAAGCCCCAGCCTAATATTCCGAGACTCCTTACCAAAGTCAGGGTATATACGATCGATGTGCTTCCATGCCTCACCATCAGCAGGATGTCTCAATTTCCCGTCCTCTTTACGATCGGTCGAATGCCATCGCATATTCTCAGCCAGCTCGGCAGACATATAAAACCTCTGCAGCCTAGGAATAATTGGAAAATATCGGAGAACCTTCACAGGGATTCTGCTCTGTTTATTGGATGATATGCCTTCAGATGTGCCCGTATGTTTTTTCCAGCGTGATACATGACACGTCGGACATTCCTCTAGACCTTCATTACCCTTATTGTACAAGATGCAGTCATTAGGACAGGCGTCTATCTTTTTGTAATCAAGACCCAGGGTATCAACAATCTTGTGAGCTTCATAATAAGTTGTGGGGATGCTCTTCTCGCCGCCTGGAATGACTTTCCTGAGCAAGTCTAATAACATCTCGAAATGTGTAACAGCCATCCCACTGAGTGTTTGGATATGAAGAAGCCTCAGCATAAAAGAAAGCCTTGTGAACTCGGTGCAACCCTCGTATAACGGTGACTCGTTTTCTTCAACAAGTCTCATCAATCGGGCTACATCTTGAAACATATCAGTAGTGTTAACATCACTCGAAGACGGCACGGTAAGAATATCTTCCAACATATCAGTTGTGTCAATTGTCGGATTGTCGACATCAGTAAACTCTTCCTCTAATTGCATCACCGGGACGCCTTCACCGTGATGACTCCAAAATACATAAGAGCTATCAAATCCATTGATTGACAGATGGAAACTTACGTCACTCCTAGTGAGCATTTTATCATTCCTACAATTCTTACAAGGACAAAAAATCAACCCGCTGAGTGACCGTAGAGGGTTGGTGTCAGAGTAGGCTAAGAAAGCTTCTATCCCATCCTTGTATCGAGTGTCTAGATGCCTTCGATCACGTGGTATGCCCATGAACGATTTGTCAGGAATTGTCCGCATCTAGAATTTAAAAATTAATGGAAGTGAGCATATCCCTACATATATCATTTTAAGTTATAGGACAAGTGTGTGTGATCGGCTGTCAGAGGAAGGCTTCTATCCCATTAGGTATGTAAACGTAGCGTGTATATGTATTTACGTGTGTTCAAGTGTACTTTTATTTCGTCAAAATTTCGGCAGCACCTACCCGCTGTACTTAATCGGATCCGGATCCTCTACTAATGAGAGGGTTCCTAATATCTCCTAATGAGATCTTGGCCTTTGATTTATCAATCAAAGGCCAAGATCTCCTCATAAAATTTCGGCAGCACCTACCCGCTGTACTTAATCGGATCCGGATCCTCTACTAATGAGAGGGTTCCTAATATCTCCTAATGAGATCTTGGCCTTTGATTTATCAATCAAAGGCCAAGATTATATATAGTACACGGAGAACAACGAGTAAGCGCCGCAAACAATCCTGTATGCGTATGTGATAAGTAAATAAAGAGATTATATATAGTATTTATTGGACGGGGTATTCTACGGCTCGAAAATATGAGTGTACAGTGTGTGCAATTTCTATGTAATTAGCGATATAATAGTTACGATAACCCCACACAATCACCTCACCCTCATTGTAACCATCACCCTAACCCTAACCCTAAACCTCACCTTCACCATCCCCTAACCCTAAACCTAAACCCAACCCTCACCCTCAACCTCACAAAATCTCCTCATGCACAAAAGTAGGCGGGAGATAAGGATAAGATATTGTCCTTTGATTGATAAGTTTTAGCGACGGATTATCCCGTCGTTAAAAACTGTTTTAGCGAAGGAATCTCCTCACCCTCACCATCACCTCCACCCTCACCTAACCCTCCTCTAACCCTAATCCTAACCCAAACCCAAACCCAAACCCTAACCCTAATCGAACCCTAACCCTAACCCTAACCCTCGCCTAACCCTAACCCTAACCCTCACCGAACCCTAACCCTCACCCTCGATCACCCCTCACCCTCACCCCACCCTCGATCACCTAACACTCACCTCACCCTCGATCACCTAACCCTAACCCTAACCCTCACCCTCAACATCACCTCCACCCTCACCTAACCCTCCTCTAACCCTAATCCAAACCCAAACCCTAACCCTAACCCTCGCCTAACCTAACCCTAACCCTAACCCTAACCGAACCCTAACCCTAACCCTAAACCTCGCCTAACCCTAACCATAACATCTAACCCCCACCCTCACCTAACCCTCACCTAACCCTAACCCTCACCGAACCCTAACCCTAACCCTAACCCTAGCCCTAACCCTCGCCTAACCCTAACCCTAACCCTCACCGAACCCTAACCCTAACCCTAGCCCTAACCCTCGCCTAACCCTTACCCTCACCGAACCCTAACCCTCACCCTCGATCACCCCTCACCCTCACTCCACCCTCGATCACCTAACACTCACCTCAACCTCGATCACCTAACCCCTAACCCTAACCCTCACCCTCAACATCACCTCCACCCTCACCTAACCCTCGCCTAACCCTAACCCTAACCCAAACCCAAACCCAACCCTCACCCTCGATCACCCCTCACCCTCACCCCACCCTCGATCACCTAACACTCACCTCACCCTCGATCACCTAACCCTAACCCTAACCCTCACCCTCAACATCACCTCCACCCTCACCTAACCCTCCTCTAACCCTAATCCTAACCCAAACCCAAACCCAAACCCTAACCCTAATCGAACCCTAACCCTAACCCTAACCCTCGCCTAACCCTAACCCTAACCCTCACCGAACCCTAACCCTAACCCTCTCCTTATTCAGTTACATATGAATTCGATCATATACAAGAGCTCGGTTATATGCAAGTTCGAATCTGAATCATATACAAGTACCAACCATGCCAAGTTCATAACTAAATCACTGGGGGGTGGGATTCGATAGCGGGGGGGGTTCGGACAGGGAGGGGGGGAAAACGAGGGGAATTAATTGGGCGCGGGCTGCCCAAAAATTTTGGGCGCCCGCGCCCAAAAAATTTTGCCCGAATTAGTTTTTAGCGACGGAATTTCCGTCGCTAAAACTTCTTTAGCGACGGAAATTCCGTCGCTAAAAACTTTTTAGCGACGGAAAATTTTTTCGTCGTAAATTTATTTAGCGACGAAATAATTCCGTCGCTAAAACCCAAATTTCCGTCGCTATATCAATTTTAGCTACGGAAATTTGGCGACAGAATTTTCCGTCGCTATAAACTAACTTATAGCGACGGAAAATTCCGTCGCTATTATTCCGTAGCTAAAACCTCATTTTCCACTAGTGATATGATTTTTAAGCCAGACATAATGGCCTAAAAGAGAGAGAGAAAATTATTTTAGCAGATGTTCAATACATAAAATATATTTGGTTTATTTTTATTTAAGTTATGCCTCCCACTATTTTTCGAGTCCCTCAAAACCTTATAAGAGGTGATCGGAAAACAACCCCTTATTTTTCAAGTGGGATCAAGATCCAATTATCATTGAATGTATCAACCTTAACGAAAGCCAACAAATTAATACACTTAATAATTGGTAGACAACTATTATCTTTTACACTCTTGTAATTCTTGATATGATTTTACCCCTAGTCTTTTATGACCTTGACGATAGCCCTTGTAATTCTTGATATGATTTTACCCCTAGTCTTTTATGACCTTGACGATAGCCAACAAATCATAAAATGCTAGTCAAGTTTGGACCCATCATTTCTTGACTGGCTTAAATTTAACTTATGCAAACTCTTGACGAAAGGCAACAAAGTCGCATAACCAATTTAAGTTATCTTTATATCTTATATACAGATGGATACTATTTAGCCATAGAATAGTATTCCCTTAATGATAGCCAACAAACAAAGTATTTATAAGCTTAGTAGTATTTAACTAAAATGATGGAGGGCTACGGACGATTCCATAAATCTTTTACCATAATCAAACTTGATATAGTTTAAAGATGCTCTATATTTATACTTGCAACAATTAAACTAGCCAGGTAAGTACAAGATTGGTGGGAGGGTTCTGAGATATTCCCCGAGAATATTCATCGGACCTTAATTAAGTAACCATCGTTCTTTAAGACTATAGCACGAAAGATTAGGTATCACCCCTAATCTTAAGTTGGGCATCACCCCATGAGCTATATCTCATAATTACTTTCCTTGACACTAGTTAAAAGTTCATTCTAAATACATTGCTTTTAACTACTTTAGGTTTATTTATCTTTCATACTAACACTATGTTAATGTCGGTCTCACCACTCTATAGTCAATAAACTCTTATTGTCATATCTCACAAAGTTTAAAATGAGTTTTTTTATAATAAAAACTATTCTCTAGTGAGATAGAGATATAAATTTGTAGAATATAGCACCTAATTGTATTGACATCTATAATTAGGGCACAACCAACATATCAACATATGTAATAGCAATATAGAATGATAGTGGACAACTAAAGAAATATAATGCAACTACACTAATTACATTTTGGCAAGCAATTTGCAACTCCTTGCAGTGCTAACTCCCTTAAAAATCATGTATTATTATAATCACATATACATAGGACGTGCAAGCCCCATTTATTATAGAAAAACCATCTTGTAGGATGGGTAATAATATTGCATTGAATATAAAAAAAGCTATAAATGAAATAACTAAACTAAACAACCATACCCCCCCTCACATCCGAACAATGGCCTATACCTGTAGGCATAGCTTATAATCGGTGAGCAAGTGCCTAAACCCGTAGGCGTAGCCCATGCTCGGGGAGGAAAGAGGTTAAAAATAATATTACATTTCTAGCTATATTACATCAATACAATAAATGCAAGAGAATCGTTGTCCACTACCCTAAAATTCCATTGTCGAGTGTCGAACTGCCGTACACATATTTAATGGCGTGGCTAGTTCTCCATCGAGAGGACATGATGTCAGCACCTGACGCGTCTGATCCAGAAATCCCCTTGTTACAGCTCTTAGAGGGGTGTAAGTGGTTATATCCTTCCCGACCGTGGGCCGATCGGGTGAGGCAGTTCAAGAATGCCAAATGCTGGGAATTCTACAAGTGTTTCCCTCAGTTTTCTGGTGCCTATAATGACACTCTTGTTGACGAGGAGATGCCTGGGGCTGACAGGACCTCTCTCGACATGGGTAGTTTCCACTGGCTCATGAACATTCGCCCAGGCTATAATGTCTTCCGGTCGAAGAACCTTTGCAGGATCGAGCCTTACTTTCCTTGCCGTTTTGCGGGGAGGAAAGAGGTTAAAAATAATATTACATTTCTAGCTATATTACATCAATACAATAAATGCAAGAGAATCGTTGTCCACTACCATCCATAAACATAACATCCACGTAAGATGATATAAAGCATATAACTTAATCAACATTAAGAAATATGTATCTATCTAGTTATGCAACAAATTGGAAACTAGATAACATAGAGATTATCCTAACTCAAATAGGACTATCATCTATCTAGTTATGCAACAAATTGGAAACTAGATAACATAGAGATTATCCTAACTCAAATAGGACTATCATGCTTCTAACATACAACTACACTAGTTGTAAATAAGTGTTTTGCAATTTATACAAGTGTTTTTACTACTAAAAACTTATGAACCAAAAATCACATTTTGAATCAACGACTAGTATAACTAATTACAAAACAACTTGTATTAATTAACTAGTTTCATTAAAACATCTTTTAATTAAACTAGTAATTAGAAGCAAGTACAAAGTCCTCTATGAGTTAGATATGCATGCAAATATTTAATTAGATGGAACCATGGCTCTGATACCATGTTGGAAATTCGTGCTAAATACATGCAAAATACGCAACGGAAGACTGTATGTATAATAATACTAAGCATGTAGAGAGCATAAAAAATAAAATTGGACCATCCTAATTGAATCTCTTCGTAGTGGATCGAACAACCCCTAGCTCTTGCTCCTTGTAGTAGTAAATCTCTTCGTAGTGAATCTCCAAGTCTTCAACTGAGCTTGATAAAATCGTAGTCCTCTTGAGACACAAGGCAAGATATCTACCCCGGGGTACTTTAAAATCCTACTACTTTCTCTTACTCAAAGATTGCTAGAGTTTAGTAAGAGGTAGATCTCTCTTCTTTTCTTTTATGGAAAGCAACTATGACTAAACCATTTATTTCATTTTTCCATTTACCATGAAAGAAGAAAAAAATCTCATATTTATAGAGGAAGAATATGTCGTGACATGAATGACTCATCCTATGAGTCACACCATGCGTCATCAAAATAATGATTCTCTCATGAGTCATGCAATGACTCATCTCATGAGTCATGCAATGACTCATCTCATGAGTCATGCAATGAATCATGAAGAATCAAAACTATGTGCTAAAACCATGTTCCCAAACCATACCACTTTAATAACTCATCTCATGACTCATTAATCAATGTATAATGAAGTGTGTATTTCATAAATAAAAATATCACAACAATACGGTATTTCATAATTTTTCAATCATTAACTAATAAGTCATCATATGACCAAAAAGTTAATGAGTTGACCAAAAGTCAACCGTTAACCAAAAATGGGGAAAATACTGGAATTTATTTCTTAAGCACATAGCATTATGATTTTACCGATACGTATAACCGTTTATGTATATCCGGTAAAAATCATATATGCGTATCAATCATACGCATTACTCTATAAATTTGTATTTTCATATGATTTAAGTATGCGCTTGGTGTGACTCTAGGGCCCAACTTAAGAACTCGGCAGTGGATGATATCCACAAGTACAACAGATGTGTTAGCTACACATAAAGACTACCCGGGTATAAGTTGTGATAAATGTCTGCAAGATGCTAACATAATTTTATCAGGACCACTCAATGATAATATTGTACAGTCCGGTCTCTTCGTCAAACCATATCAAACTATCGAGCCTAGAGTATGGAAAACTGTCAAACCCCAATAGCTCGATTAGTGTTTGTTGATATTAAACTCATAACCTATAAGATCAAACTGACACTCAGTTTATCTTATTTACCTCGGTCAAGGATTTTCTGGCTATAGTTATATCAAACAATCTTATGACATCAACCCCTTATACTGTGGGAGATGAATCCCATATTGGCATCTCAATATCTACTTATGTCTCGGGATGCACCCAACAAGAACTGTTATGCACAACTCAATGAGAACTGTGGTTAGGTAAAAGTCTAAGTACACCTATACTGACATATAAGATATTACACTCATGCCTTAGGTCAAGAGACTAATATGTACTATATCACTTGAGAAAGTATATTTGACAGTTAAGTATAATTACCAACTAGATGTTCTCGGTGAGTCGTTCAGTCAACTCATTCACTAATGAGTCACCTGTATACTATCTTGATGTCTTACATCAATGATCTAAGAGATGGACCATCGTCCTTCCAAAGGAGAAATAGAGTATACACTAGTCTTCCCAA